GAAGGAGGTGAGGCTGTTTGCTAAGAAGACGAGCATATTCCTACCCAGAGAAGTTGGGCGACTTGGCCCACATCACACAGCTTCTCAGGGACAAGGCTGGGGCTATAGCTCCCACCTTCTGACCGGCTACATAGCTTAGTGCTTTCCCTCACCAGCCTTTGTTGCCTTCTCCAACTCATTCCTCCTTACTTGGAGACGTGGCATGTTTATTTATAAATCAGCTTGTTTGGAGCCTGAAATTTGGCATCGCTGATTTTGGCCGTGAGGAGTTCAAATTTTTCCTCTTTCTGTTTTGGTCTGTCTAAACGGTGTTTTGTGAACAAAAAAACGCAGAGTGATAACACAAAGAGGCCGCTCAAGTGGTCTGACCGGAAGACATCCAGAAATGTGGCAGCCTCATCTTCTGCAGATTGATTTTACATCTCTAGATAGTAGATTAGAAACCCCGCAAGGGTTACTTCCAGGGATTTACATACCCCAAACAAATAAATAGCTGGGATCTCTTTCCAGACTGTTTCTCCCGGAGGTAGGATGGGAGGCTGGGGGAGGACCCCTGATGGGCAGGTTGCTGGAGGGCTGCACCTATGCTCCTTAGTGCAGGAACTTTGCCAGGAGCAGGGATGAACAGGAGGTACTCAAAGTTCTTGGCACTTTATTTTGCACACAGCAGAAGCCATAGAAGAAAGTTGCTTTTTTATTATTAACACTGAGTGTAAGTTCAGGTAGTTTTTTTGTTGGGAGGTGGGGCAGGGGAAAAAGTGGGGGGAGAGAGAGAAGGAGAGAGAGAGAGAAAGAAAGAGAGAGAGGTTGGCTGCATTTGATCTGTGACGCTCCCGGGTGTGGGTTCCCAAGGCCAGGGAGCCTGAGTGCAGCCCCTGACTGATCAGTGCTCTGTGCAAATCTGTTATCTTTTCCAGGACTGGGAGAAGAGAGTCTTAGCCTTGCCCACAACCAGATGAGTGATCAGTTCAAGTGTTGAACACTCTGCTTTTCAAATAGTGTGGTGGGCTGGTGGCTTTTGCCACTGCCTTTTTAAAAAAAAAAAAACAAACAAAAAAAAAACGGGGGGCGCCTGGGTGGCTCAGTCGGTTGAGCGGCCGACTTTGGCTCAGGTCATGATCTCGCGGTCCGTGAGTTTGAGCCCCGCGTTAGGCTCTGTGCTGACAGCTCGGAGCCTGGAGCCTGTTTCAGATTCTGTGTCTCCCTCTCTCTGACCCTCCCCCGTTCATGCTCTGTCTCTCTCTATCTCAAAAATAAACGTTAAAAAAAAAAAAAGTTTTTCAATGTTTATTTATTTTTGAGAGACAGAGTGCAAGTGGGGAAAGGGCAGACAGAGGGGGAGACACAGAATCCCAAGCAGGCTCCAGGCTCTGAGCTGTCAGCACAGGGCCCAGATGAGGGGCTCAAACTCATGAACCGTGAGATCATGACCTGAGCCAAAGTCGGAAGCTCTACTGACTGAGCCACCCAGGGGCCCCAGCTTTTGCTACTGTCTTAAGCCTGAGCACAGCTACAGCTCCATCCAATGTTTTCAGCAACAAAATGTACATGTGTATGCACATATGTGTATGCATGCCTAAATATATACACACACAGGGGAGCCCTGCTAAGACACACAAATTGAAAAACTTACTTCTAGTGGTCCATAGAGCACCTCTGATGGTGACAAAAGAACATTCTCAACCTCGGGCTGCAGGCTGAGACATGAAAAAGTGGCCTCTAGTGTCATCGCAGGCCTGCTGGCGTGAGCGGGTGGCACTTGATTCTGGCGGGAGGGAGATGGCCAGTCATTCGAGTTTGGAAACCTCGTCTGCAATACCTGGGGCATTCCTGGTGCTGGGGTTGATGGCTCGGCTCATATGTGCTCATGTTCTAGAATCCAAAACCCCAGGACCTTCCCGGACAAACCCGCACATCTGGAGGCAGCAGACTGAAGGAGTATGGTTGGTGCTGTCAGCCTGACCCAGGGCCCCTCTCACACCCGGCCTCTGCATTCCTCTTCTTCCCCTCACACGGGCTCTCTTAAGAGTTCTGGTATAGGGGCGCCTGGGTGGCTCAGCCGGTTAAGCGGCCGACTTCGGCTCAGGTCATGATCTCAAGGTTTGTGAGTTTGAGCCCCGCGTCGGGCTCTGTGCTGACAGCTCGGAGCCTGGAGCCTGTTCCGGATTCTGTGTCTCCCTCTCTCTGACCCTCCCCCGTTCATGCTCTGTCTCTCTCTGTCTCAAAAATAAATAAACGTTAAAAAAAAAAAAAATTAAAAAAAAAGAGCTCTGGTATAAAACAGAGCTTCCCTGAGAACTTCCGATTTCTGGGTACAACACAGCTTCCCAGAGCCCTGTTTCACAGAGTTGGAGCTTCCTGTCGCCGCGGTGAACTCCCACGGATCCTGCCCTCCCGCCCCGCAGTGAGATCATGGTGAGGACACCCAAAGGCACCACGTGGGAAAGGTACCTGCCAACGACCTGCTTTCCTAGGAGACTATCTGCCGGTGGGGCAGAAGGTCCTGGAAGTCTGCAAGCCCTCTGTGGTTGATCGCGCACTTATGTGAGGTGCTACTGGCCTTGCTGGACTGTCAGCCAAACGTGGAGGGTTGACCGCCAGACCCCTGTGTCTCCTTCTGGCCACTCATTCTCCAAGTGAGGCTCTCTCGAGCACCCCTGCTAACCTGCTCTAAACCTTGGTGTAAAACTCCCGAGTCTAAGAAATGCTTATCTTGTCACAGATCCTAAAGGTAGCCGGGAACTGGCGTTAACTCTGTGAGATGCCTGCCTCTATAACTCAGGAGCATTGGTTATGTGTTTTGGCTCGAGAAATCTAAAGACTCTTCATGTCCAGGGGCCTCTCCTAGTGACACATTTTTAGCTCTTTTTGCTGTAAACAAACAAGGCCACCTGCTGCCAAACGGCTCCACTGCTGTCACCACTGTCAACACAGGGGTCAGCCAGGCTTGCTCTGACCTGGCAGAGGCATCCCGAGCTTTCTCCACCTGCGGGGGTTACGGCACAGGCCTCACCGAATCCCTACGCCTTTCTTCATTCTCCATGTTCTTTCCCTTCAGGAATCCTGAACAGTGGGCAGAGCTCCCACTTGGGAAGAAGCTTGCTGGAGTTTGGGAGGGGGTGCGAATGGTGCTGTGCCCTGCATTGGGCCACAACAGGAACTGCCCCACTGGCTTTTTTAGACACATAAAGGTCATAGATGTTTTGCTAGACAGGCAAGGGCAAAAATCACCCTCCTGCCAGCCGGGAGTGCTGGGAGCCCAGCTCATTTTAGCGCCTGGCTGCTCTTCTCTCATTAAGAAAGCTCAGTTATAGACCTTTCTGTCCTTCAGAAGCTTGGAAAGGACCCCTATTCTCTTGGTTGCACTTTTTTCTTTCTCAGATTCTGACCCTCTCCATAGCTCTTCCTTGTCTGGTTTATGGGAAAATATTTATATGCATATATAATATATATAATATATATTATATATTATGATTGTATATTATATGCATGTATTATAAATATAATACATATATTATATATATATATATATATATCCAGCATTTTCCCCACATGGGTTGTCAATAGTGGCCTCACTGAGGATAAATCACGAAGCGTCTGGAAAACATTGGGTTAAGTGTTCCCATGTGTCTGGTTATTGGCAGACTCCCTACCCCCACCTCAGGAGGCCTCGTACTTTAACTTCTTTCTTCTGCAGTGTCCCGGGTGACACTGACACAGCGATACGCATAAAAGGGCGTGACCAAGTAGAGGTTGATTTAACATTTATTTGCTGCTGCTGTTCTTTACTTTGAATGAGGTTGAGCTATGGATTTTAAGTGTAAAGGCTCTTCAGGAAGCAGCCACAATTCATCCCTGGGACAGAATTCCCTTAAAACCAGGTGAAGTTTGCGAGCCTAGCTCTTTGCTCCAAAAGCTTCCACCGGAGCTGGAAAAAGATGGAAGCCACTTTCCAGGTCAAGGTCGCGTGGAAAGTCCTTCCTGCCCGTGCCGGCTTCCTCTGGCCCATCCATTCCGGCCGCTTTGCTCCTCAACAGAATCCAACTGAAGTTCCCTGCCGAGTAGGTCTCCAGAAGCCCTCCTGCCAGCCTGTTTCTTCTCTTTAATGGCTAGAAACATTCAGCTCAGAGGAAGAAAAGAATTAGTCTGGCAGGCCCTGCCTTTGAAGGTACCTGCTGACACTGACAGGCCAGGCCAGTGAATTCAGTGGCCGCCGAACGTGCCATTGGAATCAAGAGCCCCACACTGTGGATGCGGCCACACACAGCGCGGCTCACCAGGCCAAGGCTGGGCCGCAGTTGCGGTAAAGCCCATGAGGTGGGCTGCACGCACGTTCGTTGCGGAAGGACTGGTTGCCAGCAGAAAGGATAAGTCAGTCGAAAGAGGGTAAATGCAACTTTCCCCGCCAGGTGTTTTGTCTCCTCCCATTTGGCTTTCCTCTGATGACAACCTGCCATACAAAGCCATACCTGTGCTTAACAGATGGATAAAACTTCTTCAGACTTCCAGAACCACAGAGGCTGGGGAAAATACACTGAATCCATAGCCATGAGGACCAGCTCTGGAGTCTATGGACCCTGGAATGGGGCCGCCCCAATCTAGAGTTTTGGCCTCTGTGTCACACGGAGGGGCGTTAGGTGACCGGAGCAGGGTGTCTGGCCATCTCCAGGTGGGAGGGGCCCCTGGGGCAGTACCACCGAGGAGACCACTGAGAGACCCAGAAGGGGACAGAGACCCCTTACATCAAAACAGGATGAAATCAGGTTGTCATCCCTTAAAAACCTCACGTGGTTGCTTTTCTGCCCCCTGCTTCAGGATATGGGGTGTGATGGCCAAACTGTGGCTCTGGCGACACAAGCCATGGACTCATCTTCATCTTCCCAGCCAGGACATGTTCAGAGGAAGCCAAGGAAAGTCACTTCTCCGCTTTGCTTTTGACTGGTCTTTTCTGGGGTCCCGGGGTCTTCTTTCCTGTCCTTCCAAGGGGAGACCGGGTGCTCTCAGCACTGTTCAGCCTCCACGAAGCCCTCCTTCTCGTGGCCCGAGGGCTCGACCTCCGTGTAGGTGGCGTGGTTGGGGTGGTTGCGGAATTTCACAGCTGGCCAGTGGTGAGGTCTCCGCTGTCGGGGGCACAGACGCAGAGTCAGCGGGCACGGCCTCACCCACCTGGGACTCCTCCACACCCCCGAGGACAGTGCTGAGCACCGAGACTCTCTTTACAAGGGTGCTGGGGGCCTACTGTGGGCCAGGTGGAGTTCAGGGCCCTCCTCCCCAGAAGCCTCCCCACTGTGATCCATCAACTGCTGGGAACCTTCCTGGGAGCCTGAGGAGTTTGAGAGGAGGTCATTTCACCGCTCGTGGCATTGACTGCAGGACCGTAAGAGCCTGAGCAACGTACTGCATGGAGCCCTGAGACTCCAGTGAGGCAGTAGGTGAGAGATGGAATGATCTGGGAGGTTCTGAAGAAGCCACGGCAGGACAGGTCCTGCAGCAGAGTCAGCTGGGGAGTTTGTAAACATGCAGATTCTTGGACCTACTTCAGACCTACTCCGTCAACATCCCTGGGGCTGGGTGATACTTAGGACTGGTTAGGGCTTACAAGAAACAGGGGCTTCTAAACAAAGGGGAAAGCCCCTCACAAGCACCACCTGCGCCTCTGATTGATGAGGTCAATGGGCCTGTGACCTTTGTGGGGAAGACTGTGGGCACAGAGGCAGCACTAATGGACCACAGGCAGAGCTGGGAGGGACTGAGAGCGGAGGACAGGGGAGGGAGCTGCTGAGCCCCAGTGGCCCAGAGAGAAGAGGGCTGGCTTTTACTTCCCAAGCTGCACTTTGAGCTGCTTCTTCAGAATTCTGAGACATTCCAAATCATAGCATCCTCAACGAAAGCTCCCAGAGAGAGCAACTCTTAGGATTATCATGCCTTGTCAATTCTAACCTAAAAACCCCCAGAGCAGGCAAAGAGGCAGAGATCCCGGTTCCATTATGGCTTTGAATAAACACCAGGCTTGGAATATGGGGGTGAGAGACCACAAATCATGGAGGGGCTGCACAATCCCTAGTGATTTCTCCTTCTTTCCTCTGGAGGCTGTTCTGATTTCACAAATGGGGGAGCAAAGGCAGACGGGCTGTTCAACAGGACAGGAGGGGTGCCGCACTCCCGGGGGAGCCCTTGGGGTTAGGGACTAAAGGGGCACCAGCCAGTGCACAGTGTGCAGGATGGAGTCAATGAAGTCTCCTCAGATAGGAAGAGGAGTCGGACATGTGGGTGTGAGGCGTGAGGTGGGGAGAGGCAGGTACCCAGTGGCTGGGGAAATGCTGATGCAGAGGCAGACAGACAGCAGAGCTGTGGCCAAATTCAACACTGACCTCGATGAAGAAAAGCGCAGCGTTGGAGGTGGGGTGGCCGTTGATGTAAATCCCAGCCAGGATGATGGCTGCTACCAGGAGGACGGCCAGCACGATGCCCACGATGGTGCCCAGGTGCACGGGGGGGCCCTTTGTCTTGGGGGACAGGTTGTTCTGAAGGCCTGTGGAGAGACCATTTAGGGTAGGGAGTGGCCACAGGGGAGCAGGGAAGGTGGGGCCATGAAGCCTGAGGTTCTGACAAAATCTCAGAGATGAAATCTAGAAGAACCTCAGGGTCTGCTTATGAAATATGTAAAAAGGTGGGGAAGGAGTGGGTGGAGTCATGAGCATAGCATTTATGTTGCCCTTGGCATGGTTCAGGTGGTTTTCCAAAATCACTTAAAAGTTGCCCAAATTCCTAAAACGGATCGCAAGAGAAGTTTTTTCCAATACTCGTGCCGCAAGTGCCTTTAAGGAATCCTCAAAGGGTATGAGATGGTGAGGAGTTTCGGATCTGGAGTATGGCGGCATGTTCAAATCCAGGGTGTGCTGACTTACTAGCTGCATGACTTTGGGCAAATTATGTAACCTCTCTGTGTCTCACTTATCACTTCTGTAGAGAAGGATAATAATGACTACCTAATAGAGTTATTGTAAGGGTCAAAACTAGATAATTCACGTCAACTGCTGAGGACCAGGGCTGGTCTCTTGGATGACCTCAGTGTTAGCCATTATGATAACAAAATGACCATATTTTCACTTATCACTGTCCACTACCAGACTGTGGCCTCCTGGAGGGCAAGGACGGTGTCTTATTCACCTCTGTGTCCTCAGCTCTTAGGAAAAATGGCGGGCCCCATGGTAGGAGCTCAGTAAAAGAATGAATCAGGTCCTCTGAAGGCTCATATACCAGTAGGCAATCTCTGAGAACACCCTGAGCATTTGAGATACATCCCAAGGAGGAGACTGAGTATTGCCGTAGACTATCAAGCTGGAATGTCATCTAGTCCAACCCCTTTCTTGTACGGCTGGGATAATGGGAATACAGAGAAGTAAAGTGATTTGCTCAAGGACACAGTCACGCCGACCACTAAGGAGCCCATGTTCCCTTATTGCCTGCGGTGGCTATTTGTTTCTGCTCCCTACCTTAAAGGGATGTGGAGAGAATGAAGTAGAAAAAGACAGATGAGCACATAAGCAAAAGAAATCATTTTTCTTTTTTAAAGTAGGCTCCATGCCCATTGTGGAGTCCAACACAGGGCTCGAATTCACGACCCTGAGATCAAGACCTGACCTGAGATCAAGGGTTAGATGCTTAACCGACTAAGCCACCCAGGCGCCCCTCAAATCCTTTTCACAGAGCTAGTGGGTGGAATGAGAATCAACAGGAGGTGGGGATTTTTAATGGGATGTTGCATATATTCCAATCCTCGTCTTCCCCAACCCCTTTTCTCTGTAAGCAGAGGAAGCCCAAGTAGGGAAATTGTCCCCGGGGCACTCCGATGCATGGTTAGTGCCACTATCTGCCAACAGGTGGGACAGTTGAGGTGACACACCCCAAGCTAGCTTCCCCTGACCTGGCAGTCAGCCCGCAGCCCAAAGTGACCCTGGTGATCTGATGGTCAGGGTTTGGGGCTGATGAGCGTGTGGTGCAGAGCAAGGGGAATGTGGCCCAGCCCCCGCCCCAGACACACAACACACACTCAAACCAGCTGCCCGCAGAGCAGTAATGGCTTCACCTCTGGTGGGAGACTGGATCAAACCATGCTGCATCAACAGCCTCTCCTCTCCTGCGGGAACCCAGGACAACAATCTCCCAGTCCCTAGAGCTGGAAGGTATTTTCATCTCCCCCGTGCAGTGGTTGCAGCAAGGGCCAGAGCTGGCTCTGGGCAAAGGGCAGGGGAGGTGGGCCGCATCACATCACCGGAGAGATTATCCTCCCAGGTAATCTTGGGAGCAAAGGACCCCAACTTCCGGCGCCTACAAAAATTGGGGTGGACAACTTTTGTGTACTCTCTGCCAACCCAGGTTGGGAATCAAAGGAAACCTGATGTGGGAAAAGCTACTCTCCACCCCTCATGGACCATGAGGCCGGTGGGGACAAGAGGCCAATGGTGAGGGGCCCCGCGCTGCCGTGCCTGCTCTAGCTCAGCCTTTCTCTCCTCTCGCTGCATTCAGGGCAGTGAGGATTCAAGACAGATCTACAGGTGGTTCCTGGCTGATGACAAGTGTCTAGACACATTCCTTCCATCTAGTGGGCCCCTGCCCAGGAGCCCAGCAGGAGGTCTGGGAAGCTCAGGCTGCCGTTGCTCCCCTCCTCCCCACCTTAGAACGGAAGCAAAGAGGCCAGGTGACTGATGCACCCTCTTCTGGGGGGTAGCGGGGGAAGGGGTGGTCCAAGGGGCAGGGCAGGCAGCTCAGTACTCACCATCTCCTCCTGCATAGGGATTCAACTTGGTGTCGTCTTTAAAGAGGAGAGAAGGCATAAGATTAGTGGAATCATTTAGGTCCAGATGGGACTTTAAGGAGGTTTAGTCCCACCCTCAATTTAATTTTTTTTTTAATTTTATTTTTAAGTCATCTCTGCACCCAAGGTGGGGCTCAAACCCACAACCCTGAGATGAAGAGTCGCATGCTCTACTGACTGAGCCAGCCAGGCGCCCCTCCGCCTTCATTTTAGAGGCAGAGAAACTGAAGCACAGAGCGGGGAGGTGACTTGCTTAAAGTCACACAGCAGTGTAATGACAGAAGTCCGCAAACAAACCAACTTTTCCTAGTCTTGTGTCCATTCATCCAAGCAGGATTTATTGGACGCCTACTACTGAGTTGAGCACTGGGAGAGGGTACTGGGGGTAGACACGGTCTCTGCCCTCAGGGAGTTAACAAGCAGGAGAGATGGAGTGACAATTAAAACCCAGCAAAATGGAGCTCTGACTGGGGGCCTCATCCAGACAAAGGGTGTCAAGATGGAGGGGTGAGATGTGGGGCTGGGGAAAAAGGGTTCCAGGCAGAGGAAAAAGCACGAGCAAAGGCCCAGAGTCAGAGAAATAAAAGGCAGTGCAGTGCCGCTGGAGGGTGGAGAGGGTAAGAGATAAGGCTGGGGGTGGGGGATGGCTGCCTGCAAAGCCTGGGTGAGGACTTTTCCTGTTCTCCTTCCCCTACGGGCCCCTGGGAAGCTGAGGAAAGGGTGTGTCACCAGTTCAGATCTGCTGGAAGACCACCCCCTCCCCACGCACAACTCGAAGGACAGATTTCATGCCAACACCCTTTCTACAGCGCCAGGTGTGTGTCCTGTGGTTTCCTACATAAGTTCCGATGGTTGACCATTCTTCCCCAAAGATTCTCCGGGGAAAGGCAAGCAAGAGTTCCATGTCAGGAGAATGCTCTAGAGGACAGAGGGTTACTGCTTGAAGCACCGAAACGTGAAACAAATTGAACAACCCGGGTGTGTCGCCTATAAGGTACATTTCATTCCTCTTTCCCTCCTGCGCCTCCATTGCCCATGTCATTTTAAAGACTTTTACGGGTGGGGGGCTTCTGGGGGGCTCTGTGGGTGAAGCATCTGACTCTTAATTTTGGCTCAGGTCATGATCTTGAGGTTGGTGAGTTCGAGCCCTGCATCAGGCTCTGTGCTGACAGTGTGGAGCCTGCTTGGGATTCTCTCTCTCCCTCTCTCTCTGCCCCTCCCCTGCTCTCACTCTGTCTCTTTCTGAAAATAAATAAACTTAAAAACATAAAATAAAATAAAATAAAA